TGGAACAGAAAGTGTCAGAGCTGGAAGGGGCCTTAAACATAGAATAGGGAATGTCAGAGCTGGGAGGGGCCTGAGAACAGGAAATGTCAGAGTTGGGAGGAGCCTTAAAGTAAAGGATGTTAAAAGTATATAAGAAATTTGATAACATAGAAAGTCAGAACCAAAGACAACCTTAAAGATCACATATTTCAATACTCTGATTTGATAATGGTAGAGATTGAGGCTTGGGGGGCTCTAGGGACCAGCCCCAGGTCACAGATGTAACGGAGCCAGCTCATGATGCCAAGGGGGCTGGTCACAGATTCAGAGTTGGAAGGAGGGCCCTGAGAGGACATCTAATCCAGTTATCCAGGGTTACCATGGTTGTAGGTGTCAGAGCCAAGATTTGAACCCAGACCTTTGCTTCTAAATCCATCTATTTTATTTTATTTTATTTTTTTACAAGGCAGGGCCATCCTCAGGCAAGTTTAATGGATGCTGCTACAGACTCATTTCTGACTGTGGCTCTCCACTCACACTCCGTCCAAGTTCCTGCTCCAGTCTGCCTTGATGAAGGGACGGTCGAGGTGTGGGAAGCCTCTAAGTGTTCAAGTGCGGCCCTTTGGCTGAATCCAAACTTCACAGAGCAAGTCCTAAAAAGTTTGGATTCAGTCAAAGGGATGAACTTGAGGGTCACATGTGGCCTCGAGGCCACAGGTTCCCCTTCCCAGGGACAGACCAAAGAGCCATGGGCCTGACTCCCATGGGGGCCCTGTGGTCTCATGGAAGGAAAGGGGCAGTTGGAGTCAGGACCTGGGTTTGGTTTCTGCCTCTGCCCCTCATTCCCAGTGGACCTCGAACCTTAGCCTGATTAAGTCATATAAGGAGCCTTCAGAGTTATCTGATCTATCCCTCTCACCTTACAGATAAGGAAACTGAGGCCCTGAGAGATTCAGTGACTCTTGCAAAGTCACACAGTCATAGAGACAGGATGCCTAATGATCTTCCATTCTGAGACCTTGCTATCCATCTCTCCTCCTCACTTGGGTAGGAGCAATGAACAGGATCTTAACTCCATGGCCCTCCTCAGACACAGCTGAGCCTGGGCGTGGTATGGATGTTTGTGAAGGGCTGACAGGCCCACACAGCTGCAGAAGCCCCTTTCATGAAGGGGACAGAGAGCTGATCTTGAAGGAATGAGGCCTCGATCTAGTCCAGGCTCTGAGACACTGACCACATAGCCCTAGGCAAGTCCCATCCCCTGGACGGTCCTCAGTTTCTTCATCTGTTAAATGGGATTGGTCATATTTAACTAGAGCACTCAAAAGATCGTTTGGAGGACAGTGTTTTGTCAAGCACCAAAGAAATGGGAACCGTCATTATTCTATAATTCTGGGCTTCAGTTTCTTTATCTGTGAAATGGGGAAGGTAGTATTAATCTCCCTACCACCTCTCTAACTGAGCTGTTCTGAGGTAATGGTTGTTCAGTCCTTTCAGTCGTGTCTGGCTCTTGGTGACCCCATTTGGGGTTTTCTTGGCAAAGATACTAGAGTGGTTTGCCATTTCCTTCTCTACTGTATTTTACAGATGAGGAAACTGAGGCAAGCAGGATTAAGTGCCAAATTTGAACTCAGGTCTTCCTGACTCGAGGTTCATTGCTCTATGCACTGCAGCACCACGTGGGGTCTTCATCAACCTGAAAGGGCTCAGGAAAAAGGAGCCCTGATTATAAGGGGAATTGGGAATTGCAATATCCTTGAGCACAGTATCATAGATACAGGGACCTGAGAGGCCATCTGGTCACACCCATTTCTGGGACAAGAATCCTTTTGACAGCTTTCCTGACTAGTGACCATTCAGCCCTGCTTAAATACCTCCAGTGACGGGGAACTCACCACTTCTCCAGAGAGCCTACTCACTCCCTGCACTTTGGAACAGTTCTCACTGTTAGGATTTTTTTTTCTTGCCATCAAGCCTTAATGTGCTTTTCTGCAAAGCCTGCCATCATTCTTGCTGCTGACCGTCCTTCAGAAGCTTGAGCAAGGGGGCCATCCCCCATCCCACGCCTTCCCCAGGTCTTCTGCTCCTCAGGTTAAACTCCTCCCACACATCCCCCTTTGGAATCCCAGACCTCACAGTCTCTGACTCTAACTGGCCCAGCCCCTTTTCTGGCAGCAAAGGTTTGGAGGCTGGCCCCATGTTCAGCTCATCCAGGACTGAGCATGTAAATGAGAATGGGAAAACCAAAGCAGTCTGTGTTTTTTTTCTTCCTTATTTGTTAGTTCATGTCAAATCCTTAACATAAACATTATCCTAGAGTTAGCTGTGGAGGCCACAGCCCAAGAAGGTTTGTTATTCTAAACAGGCGGGGCCTACCAGTTTCGGGGTGTTGAATGTCTCTGCCAGCCCCAGGGCTCAAGATATGAATGAATGAATGAATGAGTTCTGAGTCAGCCGAATATGGAAGAGACTGTGGTGAAGGGGACAGAGCCTTGGTTGGGGAGGCAAGAGAGCCTGCCATCTGGACCCAGTTTTGTCTCTGACTCTGTCACCTGGAGCATTACCCCCTTGGGTCTCTTTCTACCTCAGTAAAACTGGGGGAATTAGGGTTCAGGGCTCTCCCAGGTCTGACATGCCATGTTCTATGTGCCAAGGTCCCTCTAGGTTCTGACTTCTCTGTTCTTAGCTTATGGGGACTGGTGTCCATGCCTCGCGCCTATAGAGGATGGGGAAGGATGATGGCAGAGTCATAACATTGGCTTTCTAAGCGGTGGGTCGTCAGTGGAGGCAAATCGAGTGCTCTGTGGGGCATTTCAATACCTGGGGCCCCATGAGACCCAGGTGAGGTGCTGGCTGGGTTTGCTGAGCTTTCCCCAACTCCTTTAAAGGACCAAAGTCTTAGTTTCCAAGAATGGCTTGCTAGGAACGGGAGGAAAGAGGAACATGTTCAGAAATGGAGATGATGCAAGAAACAAAGATAGCAATTAAAAAATGCCTGTTGAGGTCTTCCTTGTGTTTCTCCTCCACCCCCATGAAGTGTCCTTGATTTCCATCCCACCCCCAGGGAGCTCTCCTTTCCCAAATTCTCCTGAACATTCCTCAGGAGACTCTCCTTTCCTCAGTCACACTCTTCCTTGTAACCTCCTTCTCTAGGCTCATCTCATAACCTCTTCCCACCTCCCCAAGTGGGATGTAAGCCTCTTGAGGGCAGGGACTGTCCATGTAGCTATCATTAGCACAGGCTTATCAAGGAAGTAAGTGATTAGGAGATGTTTGTTGAATGAGTTAACTTGGGACTAGTGACCTAACCCTGGGCCACTTTGATCACTGAGTGGAGGGGAGTGGCAACCATTGATAGCACCCCATAGGAGCATGAAGGCTAGGAATAAGTCATGCAGTAGCAGAAGCCAGGGTTTGGGAGTCCAAGGACCCAGGTTCAAATCCTTGCTCTGCCAGTGACTTTCAGCACGCTCTTGGGGCCTCATTTACCCATCTGTAAGATGAGGGGCTGGGATGAGTTGATCACTAAGCCTCTTTCCACTCTAAATCTTCTGATCCCAAGTAGTGGGAGGGCTGAGCAATACTAGTGAGTCTATTAAATGGATGCTTTCACCCCCGGCACAGGCCATGTTTGTAAGAGCTGGTTTCCATGACAACATTTCCATCAGCCGGATGGACCCCTCCTTCCTCTTTTCTCCTGCTGTTTTCCATCTGTGACTGTGAAGCTGCCATCAACAACCAGCGCCTAGCTGGCTGTGGCTAAGATTTCAGCACCCCGGCAGTCAGAGCAGGAATGCCTGGAACATGCCAGAGACGGCTTTGCCCACATGGCAGGGCAGGGCAAGACTCTCCAGGGAGCCGAATCCCTCTCCTTCGTCTGGCCCTCCCTGCTGTGAGACAGTGGATTGGGATGATTAAGGGGAGTTCCAAAATCACGATTATCCCTCCATCCATCTGCTTGTTCGTTCACACATTTGTTCATTCATTTGCTCATTCATCCATCCATCCAAGCTTCTGACTATCCATTTACTTGTACGTACTCCATCCAGCCATTCACTCATCCATGCATATGTCCATATGTCTGTTCATTCATTCATTCATTAACTCACTCACTTATGATCTGTCTATCCATTTATTCATTCATATGTTCATTTTCCATCCATATCCCTCCATCTCTGCATTTTCTGTTCATTCATTCATGCATCTGTCCATCCTCCATTCATCCATTCAATCGATCAGTCAATCAACAAGTACTTAATAAGCGTTGACGATGTGCCAAACACTGTTCTAGGCGCTGGGGATACAGAGCAAAGCAGATCAGCTCCTTCTCCCTGGGAGCTTACATTCAAATGGGGAGAGATAGCATACATATCGAGACTATATTCGAAATACATACAAATGAGATACAAGGCAGTGGGGGTGGGAGGACTGGGGAAGGTCTCCTGCCTTCATGGCTGTGGTTTTCATCCACCCCTCTGCCTGTTTGTCTGTTGGTTGGCTCCATCATGCCTTCATTTGTTGTTTCATTTGTTTTTCTTGCCTATTTGTTCTTCTGTACATTTAACGAATCGGTCTGAGATCATCCCTAACCTACTCTGTAAACATAGAGTATTTGTATGTCAATGACAATGGCTCCATCCCCTGATTACCCTTGTAGAATCTGTCATAATTTACAAAGTGTGTTGGCAGCATTGCTCTCGTGAGATGCTCAGGAAGCTCGACAAGGTAGAAAATTTACAGATGATCACCACCCCTCCTTGAAAGAGCGAAACCGAGGCCCAGGGAGATAAAATTTTGAGCTCAGTTGTTGGTGATAGAACTCTGTGTGCCGAAGCCCAGGTTGGGGCTTTTTCTGCTACGTGCCCTGAGGCCCCTGGAGTCCGCTTAGTGCTTCCTTTTGGTGGATTTTTCTGACAGTTTGTGATTGAGTAATGGAGAGAGGGAAGGTAGGAAGACCCCCTAGGAGGCTCCCTCTGGCCCAGCTGTTCCCAGAACTGACTGTTGGCCGCTTGGGTCCCTAGGTGCTGTTTGCGCTGAATCAGACTCTGCTCCAGCACGAGAGTCTCAGGGCGGGAAGTCTGCAGGCCCCCTACACCACGGAAGACCTCATCAAGCACTACAATTGTGGAGACCTCAACTCTGTCATCTTCAACCATGACACATCGCAGGTAAAGCCTGGTGGCCTGGGAGGGGAAGAACTATTTGGGCAGGTAAGGGAGGGGAGGGAGGAGAAGAGGCCAGAGGGGATCATCCCAGCTGCTGATCCCTTCAGGTCTACAAAGCTCTTTCTTCACCGCCCAGGGAAGATATTAGAGTATCCTCATCCCATTTTACAGATGAGGAAACTGAGTCTCAGAGAAGGGATCTGGCTTAAAAGCAGAAGGGAAGCTTAGGATACATTAGAGCTAGGAGGGACCTTCAATACCATGTAGCTAGAGAAACCTGGTTCCAAATCCTATCCCTGACACAAAGTGTCTAAGTACCCCTGTACAAGTCACTTAATCTCTCAGTGCTCAGGGCAGCTCTCCAAGAGTAGGAGTCCATCTAGTCCAGTTTCCTCATTTTACAGAGGAGGAAAGAGAGAGAGAGAGAGAGAGAGAGAGAGAGAGAGAGAGAGAGAGACTTGCTGACAGCCACACAGACAGTAAATGTTGGAGCCCACAGTTCAAACCTAGATCATCTCACTCCCTATCTGACTTTCTTTGTAGCACACCAGGAGGACCAAGGTAGTGGTTAGAGCTGTTGTCCCTGAGGTCCCTTGGGCTCCCACCTAAAATCCTGTATAGTTCTCACCCATAACAACCGGCATGGAGGGAGGTGGATTGCCACCCAAGGGCCACATGGAGGACTCCAAGACACTCAGTCGTTTCATCCACTGATACAGGGTGGGGGAGAGATGACTAGGCAACAGTTTGGAGAAGAAAAAAAAAGACCTAGGGTTTAAGTAGATGCAAGGCACAATGTCAGCCGTGTGATTTGGCAGTGAAAAAATCCACTCGCTCTTGAAGGCATAGTTAGAACAGTAACAGTCACCAAAGGTTTGTAAAGTATTTTGTATCATCTCATTTGATCTCATTTGGTCTGCAGTGAGAGGCACAGTGTCCAGGAGGGAGAGCCATTTGACCACCCCACCGTCCCCTGCCCACATCGGGAGGGGTGGGTTCAGTCCAACAAGCCACTCGTTAGGAAGGACCTTGAAGATGCTAGCAAGGTCAAGATGAAGGCAATCAGGACGGTGCAGGGTCTCAAGTTCATGTCCCCCGTATAAGGGCAGCCAACTGCCAACAATGACGATACAATACAACACAACGAGCTAGTCTCGGTAGAGCTAGTTAAGGTTTGTGTTTTATGTACATTAGAGACTTTGATGAGGAGGAACTGGGAATGTTTCATTTGGAGAGAAGACTTGGAAGGAGGGGAAAGGAAAGTCATCCAATAGCTGAAGAAAAGAGGGATTAAACTTGTTCTAATTGGCTCCAGAGGGTGGAACCAGGAGTAAGCCTGGGGGGGGGGAGTCACAGGAAGATTAGTTTCAGCTTCATAAAAATGAAGACCTTTCTAATAAGGAGCAGTCCCACAGTGAAGTGGCCAGTCTCTGGAGACAGCGGGCTCCTCACTGAACAATGGAGATGTTCCAGTAAAGGCTCCCCAGTCAGGAGACTGTAGAATGAATTGTGGAGGGAGGGAGGTTGGGTTAGCTGTCCTCAAAGGCTCACCACACCTCTCAGAGTCTGAGAGTTTCTGTTTTCTCAATAGACTGTGTGGGACAAAAAGTGAGGTCAAGCCTTTTCCCTTAGATGGTCTTAAGCTCGTGGTCCTTCTTGGAGGCCACTAGGACTTCCATGTCCTCATTCTGGGGGACATGAGGTCTTCCCCTATATAAGTACCATGAGGTCTTTTCTTGTCTTCCCCCTCCATCATCCCTTTCCCCTACTCCCTACCCAAGAAGCTGTAGCATGCACAATGGCCACACCCTGATAAACCATTTCGACAGAGGGGCTAAACCAGGTCGAGGGTAACCAAGGGGTCTCAAACCCATTGGTGAGTTAGGGGGATGTCTACTCCAAGCATGCAAAGATTTCTCTTGGTGGAATGGGCGGATGAGAACAATTTGTTCCAACGACCTCGAAGGTGACTGAAGCAGGTGCTGTGGAGGGCTTAGAGCTTGGTTAGACATTGAAGACTCCAAGGTCATGCACTGCATCTTGAGCCATCACCAGTCGTCTTGATTCTGCCCTGCCACTGGACTGTGATGACTCTGGAGGACAGAGTGCAGCTTTGCCTCATTTAAATCCAATTTATCCCCAAATCAAAGGACATCACTCACGGCCCTACCCCCAGCCACCTTCTTATATCTTCTATTTTAAGGTTACTTAGTATCTCCTTTGTATATGTCTTCTATATCCTACTTATGTGCAAAATGTATCCCCAGCCTATCCTCTAACTTAGCGCCTGGCACATAGTAGGTGTTTAAGAAATGTTTGTTGATCAATTAATTGATTGATAAATACTGATGGATTCTCGGCAACCTTGGAGCAGGGGAAAGAGTGCTGTCTTGGGAGTCAGGGAAATTGGTTCTGACAAGCTGGCTGTGTGCTGTGTATCCTGGGACAAATCTGGTAACCTTTAAGTGCTCTGGGCAGCTCTCTAAGAGTATAAATTGACTAGAAGGTTCTGACCTACTTTGGTGGAGGGGACTTACTCATCCGGGAGTCCCCTACATCATTGAAATCATCGTTCCAGGCTCTATAGATCCTAACAGACCTGGAGGATCTCCCTGAGGGGCACAAAGTGGGAGCATAGTAATTGGCAAGATTTTCTGAGGAGGAGGTTTCATGATGGGCCTTGAAGGATAGAGTAGAGTCCTGGAGAGAAGCCAAGAGAGGGAAATGGGTACTCTCACATCCTCCTTGGGTTCAGTGGCTTCTCCAGACTTAGCCCTGATATCAGCAGTAAGAAAAGAGAAGGCATTTTCTGCTCTCCTCTCTTGGCCCAGGTCCCCATCAATCATGGACACATTCCTGTAGCACCTTAAATTTGGCAAAGCACCTTGCGGCTCTTACTCACATCAGTGCATCCTCACAGTAACCCTGTGAAGGAGACAGGCAGGCAGGCTGGCCAAGGTTTAATATCCCCATTTTCCCAGTAGAGGAACTGAGGTTCAAGTGAATTGCCCAAGGTCACCCAGCTCATGAGTTTAGAAGCTGAGATTTAAACCCCATACCCCCAACACAAAGGCTTTCCTCCTCTGGCCTGAGAGACCTTGGGCACACAACTTTGTTTTCTGAGCGGCCTCAGTTTCTTCTCTGTAAAATGGGACTGATATCACACTTCTTCTTTTCCTGGGCTCTTGTGAGAAAATAGCTTTGTGAGCCTGAAATTCCTCTACAGATGTGTCCTTGTTCTTCTCATTTTACAGAGGAGGAAAGTGAGGCTCTGTGAGGGGAAAGGACTTGACCAAGGCCACAGAGTTAGCAGGTGATGACTCATGTTTCCCCAAGTGCAAGTCCAGGCCACTTTCCATGACATGCCAGCTGTGAAGTGGGCTTAGTTTGGGAAAGGGCAGAATAGGGCAGGGAAGGAGGTGTGCCATCTGCCAACCATGGAGATTTGGGCCCCAGCAGCCTCTGCAGCCCCTGCCCAAGCTCCATCCCCAGGCTGATGCCAGCCTGCTCTGAGCAAACATCTCTAAGCCTCCCTACTGATGGCCAAGCAGGACAGCCCCTTGTTCCACCCCCAGCTGGCTCCCAGGGCCCCTCAGAGCAGACACAGGACAATTGTGTGAGCAGATTACTGGCGACGCCCACAGATACGCTGAGTTTCCTTTGGACAATTTGGGAGGTTTTGAGACTGGCTGGAAAATGGAGATTTTATGACCTCTTTCCTTTCCCTCCATCCTAGGAACTCTCGGCCCAAATCCCTGTTTCCCTCAAAGCAAGGAAGTCTTTCTTTGGCCAGCCAAAGAATAGCCCAAACTGAGGACTCAGAGCTGGAAGGGCCCTTAGAGAATGCTCTGTCCACCCCTCTCTTTGTATCCAACACCCTCAGGCTCAGAGAGGGAAAGAAATTGGCCCCAAGACACAGCAGATAAATGACTGAGGCAAGATTGACGTAGGCTCTCTGACTCCAAAGCGGGGGTTCCTTCCAGGCACCCAGCCAAGCAGAAAGACTTCCCGGAGAACAAGAACTTTAAAAATCAGCCCGTTCCCTTCATTCTCGTGGACTAAATGTCAACCCCTGGCTTTGATGTAAGCAAGGGCACCCCTTTGACCGGTCAAGTGTGTGACGGAGTATTCTGCCCCTTTGGGGGATGTAGGGTTTCCACTGTCGGCCACCACAGAACAATAGGAGACCTAGAAATTAAATGGGGCAACAAGGAAGAGAGGGGTCAGTAGAAGGGCAGAAGCAGGGGGTGGGAGAATAGGAGGAAAAGAAAAAGACTGAGGGTAATTAGATCACAGATTTGGAGCTGGAAGGGACCTCAAAAGCCACTGAGTTCAATCCTCTCATTTTATAGCTGAGGAAACTGAGGCACAGAGGGCTTAAGAGACTTGACCAGCATCTCCCAGTTAGTAGGTGTCTGAAGCAGGATTTGAACTCAGAATTTTAAAAATGGATCGATTCTTCTCTGCTTCCCTCCCCCAAAGAAAGACTCAGGGAGGACCTGATAGCCGGATGAGGCATTTGACTCATTTTGTTTCAATTTGATTCAATGCAGTAAACATTTATTAGTATTGTGTGTTATGTGAAAAGGCACTCTGGACCTAACCCTCTAAAGGGAGAGGCTACAACCTGTATCCAGAGAAGATACAAAGCAATTCTGAGGCAGGTATACACTAACAATTAGCAGGACAGCTGGAAGGAGGCTAATCAGAGGTGGTGACTGAGTAAGAGTCGTGAAGAGAACCAGAGTTCTTCAGAGATGGGAGGTGAGGAGATGCATTCCAGGTGTGGGGGCCCAAGCTGTGCAAAGGTCTGGAGGCTGGAGATTAGATGTCATTTTCCTGGAACAGTAAATGGGACATTTTGGCTGGAATGTAAAGTCTGTGGGAAATAAGCCTGGAAAGATGGAGGAGACAGAAGGGGAGCAAGAGGCGTAAGCACTTTAAATGCCAAATGGGAAGTTTGCATTTTCCCTCAGATTCAATTAGCAACTGAAGCCTGTGCA